ATTCTAATATGTTGATTTACTGCTCAAGAAACATTTCTTATTATCAATGTTGAAAACGGTGTGCTACTTAATATTTTTGTGGAAATAGTAATACTTTTTTTTACAAAAATATATCTTTTGTAACAATGTAAAAGTCTTTACTGTCTCTCTTGATAAATTTAATTTATCTTTGGTGAATAAAATAATTAATTTCTTTAAAAAAATCATACTTGCCCCAAAACGTTTACGGTACAGTATATATTGTTGTACATATACGCAGTATATACATAGTAGGGCTGTCAAAATGGCAGAAAAACTAAATTCAAATTTTGTACTTAAATATTATCAAAATTCATTTGATCTAATATACAGTAAAAACAGTAATAATGTAAAATATTGTATTATTAGTACTCCAGTCTTCAGTGTCACATGATCTTACAGAAATGAAACATTTGCTCAAGAAACATTTCTTATTATCAATGTTGAAAACGGTGTGCTACTTAATATTTTTGTGGAAATAGTAATACTTTTTTTTACAAAAATATATCTTTTGTAACAATGTAAAAGTCTTTACTGTCTCTCTTGATAAATTTAATTTATCTTTGGTGAATAAAATAATTAATTTCTTTAAAAAAATCATACTTGCCCCAAAACGTTTACGGTACAGTATATATTGTTGTACATATATGTATATACGCAGTAGGGCTGTCAAAATGGCAGAAAAACTAAATTCAAATTTTGTACTTAAATATTATCAAAATTCTAATTATATTCAAATTTAAAATGCATAATTTCAGTTAGGGTGAAGAAAAGCTGTTTGGCTTCTCTTCCACAGGCGCATCGAGCAAAATATTCCTAATGCACGCTTATTCAAAGCATAAGATAAAATGACTATCTGTGAAAAAAGTGCATAATTTTTTAAATAATGCTTATAAACCAATTATAATTAATTAAGTTGCTTAAACAACTATAAACAAAACAGCATCATGTATGTATGCATAGTTTAATGCAAAGGGCGAAAAGCCAATCACACAGAGTACATTTCTCATTTAAAAACATGAGATACAGTGGGATGGGGAAAAACCCGCCATAAAGTCTCGATACATGTTTCTTTCAAAGTTAAACTTGCATTAATTTTACATGGCTTTCTAAACATTCGGCTCCTTTGTGCGAGATGCGAGTGCAATGGTAATAGATGTCCCTCTAGAAAATGTGTTCTGTGTGAATGGCTTGGTTTCAGTTTTGATGTAAACAAGATCTTCTCCGCATTGATGTTCTCTTTTTCCGCAATATTTTTAATTAACAACGCAGCAGCGCCGCATCTAGTGGCTTCAACTGTATAGGCTAACAAAAACATTATAATGCAACGACACTTACATCTCATCGCATCTCGTGCGCCGCTGATAAGGCTGCCTCCTTAACGCACACCTAAAATTAAAATGCAACGTTTTTGCATTCTAATGTGGATTTTTATTTTAAATTCAACGAATATTCGAAATTCGAAAAAAAATTTGACCGCCCTAATACGCAGTGTATATCGATGTTAATAATGCTAATGTTTGAATGATACACTATTACCCACAAACAATCTTGTTTCATCATACTTGTTATTTTCCTGCTTTCAAGATACACCACAGCAAATGCATAAATACACTTCAAGATTCCATGTTTGGTCTTTTAACAGTTCAACAAGTCCTTTATGACTTAACACTCACTGCGTCTGTTGAGCTGGTGTTGGTTAGAGCAGCTGAACGGATCTGGACTGCTGTGGCCCGACTCAGTCCCCTCTGAGCTAACTGACGCTCTTTGCTGTTTGCTGTGTGACAAGAGAAGAGCTAGAAGTAAATAAACAATTATCCACACATGCACCACCTCTTCTATATAAAACAAGAGCCAAACCAACCGTCAGCCCAGCGCAAAGCATGTAAGAAGCTGGCAGATATGGACAGATGGTGGTAATTTCAGGCCTGCAAGGCAAATGACTCTTTCATAACAGCATAGAGACGTGCTGATAAGGAAATGGAGCGAAATTAAGCTGATACATTTGACTCAACTTGTCTTGATCTCAAAATAAGGCCTGTCTTCAAAGCGCTGCTTAACAGCCAAAACAATGGAGTCAAACCAAACTCTTCTGCTGTTTGCATGTCATGCAAAACAGATGCAGAGATGCTGGCAAAGCATCTGCCTGTTATGTTAATGATAAGGGTACTGCTGGTGAGATCGGAGGGGTGGGGTGGGGTGGGGTGTGTATGGAGGGGACGGCGATGGTGGTTAAAGTGTGGCCATAGCAGCCCTGTATGTGACGGAGCACAGATCGGAGCGGCCCCCCTCCTGCCTGATTTACCACTGAGCGTCACTGTCGCTGGGAGGGGCGAGTGAGGCATGGGCTCCGAGCACGAAGGCACACACACACGCCCCCCGACAGGGACACAAGGTCCAGACGGGGCAGGCAGCCCTTAAGAACGCCACCGGAAGGCCGCACGGCCCTGGGGGAGGACAGGCAACCACACACAGCGGCTTCATTCCCCTCATCAGCAGAACATTTTTCATACACTTAAGTACTTTTACTTAATTGATTTGTTAAAATGAGACATCCTAAATGTGTATGGGTTCTATATATGCAAATACAAGTAATATGGCTTATCCATGGGTCCAAAATTAACACTTGCCAAATGAGAGTAAAAACGGCATTGGCGAGTAAATAAAACAGTTACTGACCATATATATATATATATATAACATTACCATTAAAAAGTTTTGTTTTTAAATTAGTCTCTTAAAAAAATAAAAATTCAGCTGACCAAGGCTGAATTTATTTGATCTAATATACAGTAAAAACAGTAATAATGTAAAATATTGTATTATTAGTACTCCAGTCTTCAGTGTCACATGATCTTACAGAAATGAAACATTTGCTCAAGAAACATTTCTTATTATCAATGTTGAAAACGGTGTGCTACTTAATATTTTTGTGGAAATAATAATACTTTTTTTTACAAAAATATATCTTTTGTAACAATGTAAAAGTCTTTACTGTCTCTCTTGATAAATTTAATTTATCTTTGGTGAATAAAATAATTAATTTCTTTAAAAAAATCATACTTGCCCCAAAACGTTTACGGTACAGTATATATTGTTGTACATATATGTATATACGCAGTAGGGCTGTCAAAATGGCAGAAAAACTAAATTCAAATTTTGTACTTAAATATTATCAAAATTCTAATTATATTCAAATTTAAAATGCATAATTTCAGTTAGGGTGAAGAAAAGCTGTTTGGCTTCTCTTCCACAGGCGCATCGAGCAAAATATTCCTAATGCACGCTTATTCAAAGCATAAGATAAAATCTGTGAAAAAAGTGCATAATTTTTTTAATAATGCTTATAAACCAATTATAATTAATTAAGTTGCTTAAACAACTATAAACAAAACAGCATCATGTATGTATGCATAGTTTAATGCAAAGGGCGAAAAGCCAATCACACAGAGTACATTTCTCATTTAAAAACATGAGATACAGTGGGATGGGGAAAAACCCGCCATAAAGTCTCGATACATGTTTCTTTCAAAGTTAAACTTGCATTAATTTTACATGGCTTTCTAAACATTCGGCTCCTTTGTGCGAGATGCGAGTGCAATGGTAATAGATGTCCCTCTAGAAAATGTGTTCTGTGTGAATGGCTTGGTTTCAGTTTTGATGTAAACAAGATCTTCTCCGCATTGATGTTCTCTTTTTCCGCAATATTTTTAATTAACAACGCAGCAGCGCCGCATCTAGTGGCTTCAATTGTATAGGCTAACAAAAACATTATAATGCAACGACACTTACATCTCATCGCATCTCGTGCGCCGCTGATAAGGCTGCCTCCTTAACGCACACCTAAAATTAAAATGCAACGTTTTTGCATTCTAATGTGGATTTTTATTTTAAATTCAACGAATATTCGAAATTCGAAAAAAAATTTGACCGCCCTAATACGCAGTGTATATCGATGTTAATAATGCTAATGTTTGAATGATACACTATTACCCACAAACAATCTTGTTTCATCATACTTGTTATTTTCCTGCTTTCAAGATACACCACAGCAAATGCATAAATACACTTCAAGATTCCATGTTTGGTCTTTTAACAGTTCAACAAGTCCTTTATGACTTAACACTCACTGCGTCTGTTGAGCTGGTGTTGGTTAGAGCAGCTGAACGGATCTGGACTGCTGTGGCCCGACTCAGTCCCCTCTGAGCTAACTGACGCTCTTTGCTGTTTGCTGTGTGACAAGAGAAGAGCTAGAAGTAAATAAACAATTATCCACACATGCACCACCTCTTCTATATAAAACAAGAGCCAAACCAACCGTCAGCCCAGCGCAAAGCATGTAAGAAGCTGGCAGATATGGACAGATGGTGGTAATTTCAGGCCTGCAAGGCAAATGACTCTTTCATAACAGCATAGAGACGTGCTGATAAGGAAATGGAGCGAAATTAAGCTGATACATTTGACTCAACTTGTCTTGATCTCAAAATAAGGCCTGTCTTCAAAGCGCTGCTTAACAGCCAAAACAATGGAGTCAAACCAAACTCTTCTGCTGTTTGCATGTCATGCAAAACAGATGCAGAGATGCTGGCAAAGCATCTGCCTGTTATGTTAATGATAAGGGTACTGCTGGTGAGATCGGAGGGGTGGGGTGGGGTGGGGTGTGTATGGAGGGGACGGCGATGGTGGTTAAAGTGTGGCCATAGCAGCCCTGTATGTGACGGAGCACAGATCGGAGCGGCCCCCCTCCTGCCTGATTTACCACTGAGCGTCACTGTCGCTGGGAGGGGCGAGTGAGGCATGGGCTCCGAGCACGAAGGCACACACACACGCCCCCCGACAGGGACACAAGGTCCAGACGGGGCAGGCAGCCCTTAAGAACGCCACCGGAAGGCCGCACGGCCCTGGGGGAGGACAGGCAACCACACACAGCGGCTTCATTCCCCTCATCAGCAGAACATTTTTCATACACTTAAGTACTTTTACTTAATTGATTTGTTAAAATGAGACATCCTAAATGTGTATGGGTTCTATATATGCAAATACAAGTAATATGTTTTAAATATGGCTTATACATGGGTCCAAAATTAACACTCACCAAATGAGAGTAAAAACTGCACTGGCGAGTAAATAAAACAGTTGGTTAGTAACTTTATTAGGAACACATTATATGCTTGAAGTAGAATTTTAATAATTATAACCTGGCCCTCACTAATATGACATAATTAAAATATATTTTTAATATCAGTATATTTAATATATTTTAAAATGTAATTTATTCCTGTGATGGCAAAGCTGAATTTTCAGCAGTCATTACTCCAGTCTTCAGTGTCACATGATCTCCAGAAATCATTATTATATTGATTTCTCTCAAGAAGAGCTTCTTTCTTTCTCTTTTTGTAGAATTCTTTGTTTAAAAGGAAGTTCAAGAGAAACAGCATTTATTTAAATAGAAATCTTTTGTATCATGTACAAACATATATACAGTATATATAATAAATATAAAATATTATATAATATAATACCATCTAAAGTTAAATAATGTAACATCAATAGTAAAAACATAAAAATGTATGCAATGTAAAAAGTTTTTACATTTTATAGTGCATTATATTATTTGTTGTATTTATTATATATAGTATACTTTACATAAACTACTGTTTATTTTTACAATCATGCACAATTACATTTCAAGACCTGTATATTTATGACCGGTAACTTTTCTTAATTAACAAAGTTACATATAATTAAAAATAAGTTAATTTTGGACCGTGCTTACACATCATATGGATTGCTAAAGCGGGGCCTGTAAAAGCAGGGAGGGTACTGTTATTGGCGGGATTCTGCGAGGGAAGTGTCATGTGAGAGATCTAACAGCTAAAAGCAGCAAAAAGCTGGTCTAAGCCAAAGGGTCAAGGAGAGAGAGTGATCGGTGAGGGTTAGATCAGGGATTAGAGAGGGGCTCAGGAACAGTGATCTGTACACTAGTGGATTCTTACCTCACTGAGAGAGGAGGAGACATCTGTGTCTGCTCTGAGACTGCAGCAGAGTGACACAACTCCTCTGAACCAATGAGAGAAGAGCACACATTACTCCAAGTACTTGTGGAGGAACACCAGTGACATTTAATCACAGGAAATGTATTGAGACCTTTGAGCTGTTTCTGCTGGTTGGTCAGGATCTTTCTGATCTCGTTCAGCCAAGCGATCTTCACCTCCACTGTGGGTGCCTATGAGAAGTTTTTGCATAACAGTGGTAAACGTGACAGTAATCATGGTCATTGTCCATTAAATAATACTTTTATATCATATTATATTTAATCTAGTCTTTGCATTTATTTTACTGCTTATTTTTATATTTGTATGAGAAAAATATAATTTCTGAATATTACACTGTAAGAGATGATCTTTTGACACTGAATCATGTTTATATTTGAAACTTGATAAATGTGTATATAGTTTCATTAATTTGCATTTAGACAAATCGAGTGTAACAGCTGTTAATTTGTGAGTTTGATGCATCTAAATGAAATGATAACCTCTCTGAAAATGAGTTGAAGAAGAATTGGTGTTGCGTTAATTTTTGGATGAACTGTCCCTTTTAACATTCTCACCTGTATCACATAGACTTCCTCTCTGCCACTGTACCAGATCTCAAACTTCTTCACATCTCCTTTGACGTTCTCCGTAATGCCGACTGCACTCATCTGCCGGCATAAACAGCATTTTATACTCACGGATGGAAACACGTGCGAATCTGAAAACACACAGCTACCTGCTGTATAAACATGTCATATCCTGTCACATCCTGTGAAGTAGCATCATATTTTAAAAACAAGGAAGGAATGCTGTCATGAGTAAACGGGCTGATATACAACGATGCATCCACATGCGATGCTGGCAGGGCTTTCTGAGATTGCACATGTGCTCCCAGCAGGAAGTGCGTGCCGTACCTTAAGACAGTGCTTGAAGCTGTAGGAGGGAGTTTTGTCAGCGTTCTCTCCGTGTTCGTCTCGACGCTTGCAGAAGAGGAGTGCGTGCTCATGCAGGAACAGGTGTCGCTGCATGGGCTTGAAGCGGGCCAGCTCCTTCACGCGGGTTGGACCCTTCTTATGACTAATCCACACACTGAAGGAGCCTTGCATAAGCACGCGGCCCAGATTGCTGAGATCCCCCTGCAACATACAACTTGTTAGCTACTGTACGCATTCACACACACTCACTTTAAGTTGTTAAAAATGTCACCTCATATCCGGTGATGGCAATCTGGTGCATTGAGTCATTGACTGACTTCAGCAGGTCCAGCATGGCTTCTAGCGCCCCCTGCAGCTCAGAAACTCTCTCACAGCCTGAGCTGTACTTCAGAAGCTCCTATTATCAAATACACATACAATTCCTTGGATTTAATGGACAAAAATATCCCTACATCAGAAAACTTTAAAAAAATTACATAAGGTTGCTATGGAAGCTTGCGGAATAAAAATCTAAAACTTTTTATCTCACAGTTCTGATTTTTTTTTGTCTCTCACAACTGTGAGTTTATCCCTCACAATTCTGACTTTTCCCCTTCTAATGCAACTCCAAGATATGAAATCAAATCATAACTAAGAGTTTACATCTCTTAGACATTTTTTCCCCAGAATTGCAGGTTTATATCACGCAATTCAGATTTTTTTTCCCCTTGCAATTCTATTTTTTAACCTCCCCAAATATGAGGCATCCAACTGGACTGCATGCGCATGCAGAATTATGAGAAAAAAAGTAAAAAAATAAAAAAAAATCACAATTGCGAGTTTATCTCACAATTATGACATTTTCCTTACAATTGTGAGTATATATCTTGCAGTTGCAAGTTATGAACTTGTAACTGCGAGTTTACATCTTTTAGACTTTTTTTCTCTAAATTATAAGTTCACGTTTTACAATTCGGCATCCAGAATTGTGAGATGTAAACTTGCAATTGGAATCTATAATAAACTCACAATATCAAGAAAAACTTTTTTCTATTTTTATTCTGTGGCAGAAATAAGCTTCCACAGGTTGCATTGTGATATATAATACCAAATGCAAACCATACTGCAGTTCACATGAACCATATCCCAGACCACCTTTTCAAACAAACTCAGATGGGATTTCCTGATCAAAAGGACTTAGTACCAAAAGATGCATAATAAAAAGTATTACAAAAATTTAAATGTTAAAAGATACATAACCCCCCCCCCCCCAATTCACATTTGTATTCAGCTAAAGCTCACACCTTTAATAGGAGTTGATACTTTGTAAGGCGCTGGACTGGCTTCAGCAGGTATGAGTCAAGAGCAAGTTTGTGTTCCAGCTTCTTTTGGCACTCCTGTAACACACAGGACACATCTCAGATCTCTTTCTAGATGCACACCAGTGTGCTGCAAGTATTTCTATAGATAGAGATGGTCTTTGATACCTGAAAGAATGGGCAGTCCGAGAACTGCCTCCATAAAGAATCAGATCGAGGCTTGTTCTGACAGTAACATTCATACAAATGGAAATGGTCTTTCTGAAAACAGACAGATAGTTTTATGTTAGATATGTTTTGTAAAAACAAAAAAGAAGAAAGACATGAACAGTAACCTCAAATTGGTCTCATATGGTGTTATAAACTTCCCCACCCTTTCCAGAAAGCAAGCCCCTACTGCCTCAGGGCTCTCCAGACAGCTTTCCAAATCCTGCAGGAAGACACTGGAGAACAGAAGACACAAGTCACACACTTTGGAAACAGTGCTCCGTTGAAAATCTTGCTTGCTAGCGGTTCATAATTTAATGTAATTTTATGTAATACACTACTACCATTCAAAATTTCAGGGTTGGTAATATTGTTTTTGCTCACCAAGGCTGGATTTACTTGATCAAATATACAGTAAAAACAGTAATAATGTCAAATTATTACAATTTAAAATAATTGCTTTCTATTTCAATATATTTTAAAATGTAACTTATTCCTGTGATGGCAAATCTGAATTTTAATCATTCTAATGCACAAGAAACATTTCTTATTATGATCAATTTTGAAAACAGTTGTGCTGATAAATATTTTTGTGGAAACTGTCATACATTTTTTCAGTATTCAGTAATAAGTTCAGAAGAACAGCGCTGATTTGAAATAGAATTTTTTTGTAACATTATAAAATATCATTATATAATTACCCACGTTTTAACATGTTATTATTCTGTTTTTCCTACTGCATTTTTTACAGCAAATAATGCTTTTTTGTTTTAAGCTTAATTTTAACAAAAAAGTATGTATTTAATCCAAGATACAGTACATTGTCTAAAAACTATAGAGGTCTTTATTATCTTAAATAATGGCTTCTAAATTGTAAATTTATCTTCTTGTAAAGATGTTTAGATATATTTACTGAAAAACAAAACACAACAAAACAACACAAAATTATAAATTGGTTTTGACTCCAAACTATTGAAAGGCAGAAATCCAGTACACATCCAGTATGTACATCTAATGTGCGATATATCTGTAATTATTCACTACAATTAGTGTGTATTAAATCTAATTTTCAGTACAAAAGTATACATATATAATGTGTTAAACATATATACACATAGTATGCTTGACAAATCTTGTATGCAGTACATCAAGTACGCCTAAAATGTATAACATCCAGTATGTACTACAATTAGTATGTATTAAATTTAATATGCACTACAAGTGTAGAGTGCATTATACTTGGTATGCACTACAAATAGTATGCACAATATCTAGTATGCATAATTAGTTTAGCAACTATTTCAGTTCCTTATTTCCCAGTTGCACTATGCCTTTTTCTGTCTCTGTAACAGATAAGACTGACTGACACTCAGTGAGAGGTCACACAGCTGTCTATTAGAACCCCCGCTCTGCTGACGCGCTCCCTTCCAGCTGAGCTCTCATTGGCTTAATCAAATCCTTATTTGACCAACAGCCATTTAGCTGTAATTAAAGTGCTTTAATTGGTGTGACGGCTTCCTGCAGTCAACCAATTTGGCAATTTGCCTCACCCGGGGATGAAGACCCAGCAGGCAAGACAGGTTTCAAAGCCACTGGCAAACACAGCTGCACAAACCGATACGTTTTATTAAAATAAGATGTTTTCGGAAGGTGTCTTGAAGTCAAAACTGTGAGTGTGCAGTTGTGTCTGAATTTCCGAGGCTGAGGATTTGCCGCTTTATCTCACAGGAAACAGAATCGTATTTCGGTCTGAAGCTATTGTTTACATTTTGCTCCTTGCTGTTAGCAGCGTTATGAAGTTCTCTGTGTGTGGTCTTGCCTGCTATGGAAGTTGTAGATATCAGGCAAGTTTCCAAACAGCACATCTCTCTTGTTGCAAAGACTTGTTGGCAGGAGCGGAGCAAGAGACGGATTGTCCATTTCAGCCCTGTAGCCCTGCAAATACAGAGATCATAATCAAATCCACAACATCAACACCTCAGCTTCCAGCTCTATCTTCAGTGCCACATTCAGAAAAATGAAGGTCATCTTACCAAGAGCACTGCCAGCAGCTCCTCCACATAGATCCTCTCGGTCTCGATCAGCTCCTTCATCACATGTCTGGAGTCACACACATTCACAGGGTCATCAGACACATCAGTGTGTCATTTAAACAGACAGTGTCAGACAGTGTCAGACAGCAGACTCACCGTTTGAGCAGATCAGTGCTGTCTTCTCCATCTATACTGTACGGGAGAGAGCTGGCCGTCTGATAGTCATGAATCACCTCGATCTGAACCACACAGAAAACACAGAATGATTTCCTTTAGAAACAAGCACAAGGTGTTGATTTAATCAAATCACGCATACTGCACCATTTCCACATCTTTTCTGATCTTTATACATCTTTCTTACAATATGAAAAGTGAAACGCAGTCTATGGGTGTTTCTTCAACTTTGGGTAATTCAGGCAGTCTGGTGGATTTTTATTTAAAACATTATTTATTCATTTAAAAAAGCCTTAAATTTCAACTTTTTGTCACATGACAATCACATCTTGGAAACTGATGTGTGAGGGAAAATCTAAACTTGGTATATATTCAAGTGAATATTACGGTAAAACATTTTTTTTAATGTTCGTAAATTATGAAATGTGTGAAAATGTGATTTCATTGTTTTTAGGATACAATCTATGAAATTAACCTTACAAAGGCAGAAGGAGACATCTATTAATTTTTTAAATGTTTAAAATGTCATATCCATCACCATATTTTCCATTACAGAGCCCTTACAATAATACAATACATCATTTGAGATGTAATGGAGATGACTTGCGAATTATTCTGTGATAAAACAATAAAACTAATTCTAAAAGTCAATAGGATCATAGTCGAGGAAACATCCATATATAGTATATATTACTATCAAAAGAACCTCCCAAATGTATTTATAAAGACCAAGTGAAAGAGTGCTGTTACCTTCCTGGAGTTTGGGCTTTTCCTTGATGTTCTTTTGCCTGGTAATGGGAGGTCAAAGGTGAACTTTAAACTGGAATTAAAATCTGTTTTAAAACAAAAAGAGCAGTTGGATACAACACAGAATTGATATAAATATGTATGTTTCAAAACGTGCAGCTTCAGTGAGGGCTATGAGAATATTTTTTGAAGTTGCATTTTTAAAAGTGCAGACTAGTGACTGCAGCACAAAACATTAACGTCCACAGTTCTATGCGCAATCAAATCATATCATATCATCAAAAACAATCAGACTGCACTGGGCATAACATAATATCAGTCTGATCTGACTTTGGAAGTCATTCAGAGGTCAATACCAGTGTATGACCTCAGTAAGTGAATAAAATCCTCCCTAAATCCCTTGTTTCAGCTACAGATCCATCTTTACATTGCGTTCCTGTCAGATCACTTTTGATGGGCTGTGATCCAGCTGTGCTGAAGATCATAGTATGTCAGGTGAGCTCTGCACGTCTCTATGGCTTCCTCCCTTGATCTCTCCATCCTAAAGTGCATCAGCTCTCACAAGAATACTGAATGCATGATGACTGAATCTATCTATCTACTTTATTCTCTCCCATTATATCATTCATAATGAACTCATTCTGTAATACATTATTAATCTGCAATTCAATTTACGTTTTTCTCTGTACTAATTTTCTAACAAATTCCCATCGTCACTTGTGAAATATACAATTTAATGGTCATTATACAGAAGGATCTGACAGCTGAGGTCCACTATTGACCAATCAGAATCAAGTATTCCACAGAGCCACACAATAAAGGTTTGCATTCTGGGGTAAACAAAACGTAATGCTTCCTAATTTACATGGAGGCATTAATTTGACTATATGTCACAGACAAGCCTTTGTTATGGGTCCTCAGAGTTAATAAGGATCAAAAGGGCTACATGTGAATTGCAAATGCACCTTATTTCGCAACTCCCCATGAAGTTTGCATTATTTACAGGGATTTATTAGGAAAAAGGTGCGGCTGTGCATTTGTAAAGGTACATAATAGCTGTAGAAGGATTTCATGTCATTACCCCAATGCAATCCACTTTTGATCAGGCGTCTTGAAAGCTTTATTAAAGAGTGCGATTTAGTTTTTGTACTGTAGCAAATGATGTACATGACAAAATAATGTTGTCTAGATATGAAACATTTAGTGCAAAATCTTGTGAACAAGTAACTATTGATAAGACTGCGAGAACTCATGGCTGAAAAATACTGAGGATAATTGGACCCAAAATTAATATTGCACTGCCACATACCATGTTTGGGGGAGAAGAGGGGGGATTTTGCACGTGGTGGGTTCTCTGGACGAGGGGCCACCAGTTGGATTGGTCGGACATGTTTGTCTGCCAGTTTCTTCAGGCAGTTCTGTCTGGACTGAATCAAAGCCTGCACAGAACTATGCTTCTGAAAAGTATTCTCTATATGAGCCTGAAACACACCACAGCAAAGAATTTCCATTTATATTTAGCCTAAAATGTAATGAAATATTTAAGATTTAAAGAGTCCAAATACATCCATCAGAAGCTACATTTCTGAAAGGATGCCTAGGAATTTACATCAAACAACTACTGAAACTGGGTCTAGTCTCATTTCTGTAGTCTGTCAGTGTTTACCTGTAGACAAGGAGTGAGCACAGATTCATACTCCAGAAAGAGCACATCCACGCCTGCACCGAGGAGAGGTGGCGCCGCCTCCTGGAACTTCTCGATATCTCGAAGAGCTGCCTGCGCACCGTCTTTAGACTGGAATTTATCCACCTGCTGATTGGCCAAGAGATAAGCACCATCATCACACCACCGCTGAGCCTGCAAAACAAAGATTTTTTTGTTTCTAAAGAAATTCATAATTTTATTTGGCAAGGACTCATTAAATGATCAAAAGTTATCAAAAATAAATGATGTTCTTTTGATTATTCTGTTCAATAGAATACAGAAAAAAAATGTATGAAGTAAATATTAACCAAAAAACATTAAGCTGTTTTCAACATTGATAATAATAAGAAATATTTCTTGAGCAGCAAATCAGCATATTAGGATGATTTCTGAAGAAGAGTAATGATGCTGAAAATTCAGCTTTGCCATCACAGGAAGAAATCATATTAAAATATATTCAGATAGAAAGCAGTTATTTTCAATTGCATTGATATTTCACAATATTATGGTTTTTCTTGTGTTTTGATCAAATAAATGCAGCCTTGATGAGCATAAGGCACTTCTTAAAAAACATTAAAAAAATATTTTTCATTATAGTATAAAAATTGCTATATAAAGAGAAGGAGTGAATGTATTAGCCCACCTCTTCGAGGCGGCTCAGCAGGGTCTGTGCCTGTGTCAGGGACTTGCGTTTGGTATTGAGGGCAGAGGTCAGGGTGTCACATTGATGTCTGAGTTCATTGCAGCGCTGGATAATCAGAGCCATGGCATAGTGGTGTCCAGCAGCCAGCTGATGCCCATGCAGGATAAGAACCTGAGCCTGACTCATCTCCTCCTGAAACACACACAAATCTGTCAGAAATATCAGCATATTTGCGACTGACTGTACAACATGAACAGGGAGGCATAATGCAGCTACCTGTGCACGTTTTTCCAAACTCTCCAGCTCTCTGACACACTGCTCTGTTTGGGACAGGGATTCTCCTGTGATGCTTATCTTCCTTTCCTGTGCTCTTAATTTCTCTAAAGAGCACTCCATCTGACAGAAAGAGAATGTTAGATCAACTAGATCAAATACTTTTACTGACTCTTCCTATTATAATAGGAAAAAATATCCTTCCCTCTTTACTTTACTTTTACTCTTTAAAAAATTAGGTAATGCAGCACTGACAAATTGCCTGTTTTGCAGGGGTGGAGATCCGAACTGAAAAGCAGGGCAACATTTCAGAATCTTTAATTAAATAATCAAGAGTACATAGTATTATTATAAAATCAGCATTTTACACCATTTGTCTTACGCAGTGTGCACTATTTTTCAGTAAATATATATAATACATTATATATTGTTTAATAGTTATTCATATTTATTTATCGCCTGGTCATGTCATATATTAAAATTCACAGCTGTTGTTTAATATAGTCTTGCTCAATTTTATTCAAAATGAGCAAGATTTTTATTTTAAGGCATTACGTATTAAGCGATTGTGCTGGTGTACAGTAGAATGCCAAAACTCAATAAATAAATATTCAAAAAGGTTGACAAAAGACACTTTAAATTAAATTATTACATGTAAATCTAACCACCCAGCACAGGTGAGAACGATCAGAAACATTTCATGATCAAATGGCAGCACTGGCTTTGTATAAAGCATTTGTTTGTGAGCCATCAGTATGTCTTTGTGCAATTTTAGGGACAGAAAAGCAGTTCACCTCCTGAAAACTGTGCTCATATCTCAGCAGTTGTAAATATTGCTGCAGTTTGAGGTGGTGCTTATCAAAGAAGCCATCAAACGCCATCTCCATATCTGTGAGCTGAGCCAGCAGCCTGCAGTTAGGACATGTCAGAAAGCATGATTTCAAGTTGACATCGTTTTAGAAATAAAACAGTGGTGTGTATTTGCGATGCAGACTTTTTCTTTTCAAATAAACGGGATCAAACCCTACACCTCTGCATGGTATCCCAGTCCTGTGTCATGTCCCAGCACGTGTCGGCGTCCCCTTCCTTCCTTGAAGTCTCCAGGTTAGAGAGCAGCTGCCGCCCCTCTCTCATCACAGATCTGATGGCATCCTTCACCCATGAACAACAACAAAAACACTACGCACTGTGTTCTGCTGTCATTGACATCACAGAATCATGGAACAAAACAACTGCCAGAGCCCAGAGGGGCCGGAAAAACACAAGAAAAGACAAGACATGAGCTAAAAGTGACTGCAGACTGGAGTGGAATACAGCTTTTGTACTCCCATGCTCTGTGTACCCTAATTATAGTTTATTCCCCTAGGTTTGGTACTTTTTTTATGTTTTTCTTGGCAAAATAAGTGGTAGTAGACACCATGTTTAATCTGATCAAAAGAGGCTGTTACAGGCGCTCGGTTTAATAGGTTGTCTTGTCAAGAGATTTTTGGTCCTTTTCTGAGATGCTAAACTATTGCTAATTATTTTATAATTTTGCTAAATATATTATAATTATTATGCATGCAGCTCTACTGTCCTCAATTGAGAGACTGATGCAAGATATGGGTATATTTATAATATTTCTTTCACCACAGAACCATTTCAGAACCTAAAATACTATTTTGTATAAACAACCATTTGGGGACAGTAGGCAAGGATGCATTAAATTCATCAGTAAAGACATTTATAATGTTACAAGAGATTTCTATTTCAAATAAATTATGTTCTTTTGCACTTTCTAGTCAACTTTGATAATAATAATAAATGTTTCTTAAGCAGAAAATCAGCATATTAGAATGATTTCTGAAGGATCATGTGACACTGAAAATTCAGCTTTGCATCACAGGAATAAATTACATTTTAATATATAATAAAAACAAAAGTTATTTTAAAATAATATTATTTCACAATATTACAGTTTTTACTGTATTTTAGATCAAATAGACAACAGCAAACAGCCTTGATGAAACTTCTTTCAAAAACGTATTGACTCCAAACTTTTAAACAGTAGTCTTTCATATTAGTGCTGTCAAGCGATTAATCATGATTAATTGCATCCAAAATACAAGTTTTTGTTTACATAATATGTGTGCATACTGTGTATATTTATTATGTATATATAAATACACACATATGCATGTATATACTTAAGAAAAATATGTTATGTTTATATATTAAATACATTTATATATGATATAATTTATATGAATATAAATATATACATGTAAATACATGTAAATATTTTCAAAATATATGCTGCATGTGTGTGTCTTTATATACACATAATAAATATACACAGTACACACACACAAATTATGCAAACAAAAACTTTTATTTTGGATGCGATTAATCACTAATTCCTCCTCCTAAACATGTTAAGCTGAAATTTTGATGTTCCTAAAGCAGTTATTAAAGTCCAGCAATAATCAATAAGGGAAAAGTGAGAGGATTCTCTACACATGAGGACTTCATTGAGCTGTACCTTAAGTCTCCTGTATTTCTCGGTGTGGGACAGCAGGAGGAACTCAACAGCACTGCACTCCTCTGATAACTGTGTCTCAGCCAGCTCTGTTCCAAACGCCTGCAGCATCTGAGCAATGTCCTTAACCATAACCGCAAAACTCTCAATGGCCTGCAAAAAGCAAAGAGACTGCCTTGTTTAATGTGATATTTCTGTTTATTTCGTTAATGCATCTATACCATCATTTTTTACTGTTCTCAAGACGATCCAGTCGCTGTGGCAGTAGTCAAGAGTTCCCCCAAACTCTGAGGTCAGCTGATTCTCATCAATGTACCGCAGTAGATCTGTGACAGAGCTGAGCATCACCACCTTAATAACAGACACAAATGCAGGTCAGGGTGGTCCTGACTTTATGAAGATAAAATTACAAATGAGTGTAATGAGTCATACAGGCATTTTAAGCATGAAGTCCTCTTGACTAAAGCGGAAGCCGAGATCTGTAACCGTGCGCTGGAAGAAGCTGGTCGGTCTCAGCACCAACACAAGGTGCAGGTTTCCAGGGAATGAGGCCTAAGACAGAGAGAGATGATATCAGCTCGGCAGACACACAAGGACAGACCACCTTAAACAGGCAGATAAATGCATGAATAATCCTTAAAACCTGGAGGATATAAAGAAAAACAGAAAAAGAGTTCCACATATTTTATGAATGTTCTGGGTCTAATATAATGCTGCTTTGCATGGAAACATTTACCCTGCTTACACTTGTTTATTTGTACTATTTTCAGTTGCTTTTAATGTTTGGATTTTACTGTTTTACCTTTGTCCCAGACACAATGTCAAAATGAAAATCCATTTTAAAATAAAGTACTGTAAAGTACAGTACTATGATAAACAAATAATAAAACATGCATAAACTATTTTAGTTACTAATTCAATTATTCCACTACTATAAATGGCCAATATTCATGACTAATATAGATATCAAAAGTTAGTGCAAATGCTAGCTACGGATACAATTAGCCTCATTAAGTCTGCTATTGTATTAAATACACAAAAAAAGAGAAATTAAACTGTTCAGTTGTAATTTCCATCATTTGAAGTTTAAGTAAATATGTGAATCTTGTTCTTTTTTTAAAGCATGTATATTTTTATTATTATTTACTATATACTCCATAGTATATACTCCAACATCTGACCATCTGTACAAATGAATTTGCATAATGTCAAAAATGTAATCACTTGGAAATGGTGCACAATAATATTGCTAATTCATTTTGTCTCTTTGTTTCCATTTTTAAAGTTTCAATGTGGTTTTAGACTTTTAAACTCACAAAAAAAGCAATAAATGTATTTTGAAGTTGGAATATTATTCATGTAGGCTAACAGAATCTAGTGTGTTACTGTACGACCTGTACTACCCCATCAATCACACTGACAACTAGAGACAACAAGCTGTCAATCAAATTGATGAGATAACGTGTAGTTAGTGTTTAAGCGTTAACACTACAAGTTAACACTTAACTACACATTGAGATAACCAGCCTGATTAGCCTACAGCTACTGTACATGTACAGTTTATTCATCACGGGAGCTGAATCACATTGAGATACATAAGTGTTTGAAACAAATCTGACTAATCTCTTTGACAAACAGAAACATGACAGTTCATCCTAGCACACAGTTCACAGTAAGGACACACCACGCTTGACATTGACTCGTCCTTACGTATCTGTAAACAATAGCATCATCTGCGAAAATATTCAGTTGGCTATCGCTCATATGCATGATAATATATTTGTTTATAGGTTACATTAATAAATAACGCCTTCGCTAGCATTTATCCATGTCGGATGACTAAGCTAAAGCCGTCCGTCTCGCCGCAGTGTACCGCATTGTGCTCATCTAAACTTAGGTCCAACTCTTGAGCGAAACTACTCTAGACACATTACCGTAGAGCGGCGGATGCGCGGGAGTCCTCGCCTGTAGTCTCGCTCGCTCATAGCGATCGATGTTTTACGAGGATGTTTTAAGACCTCGCCCATCCTGCTGTGGCAGACCGGTGCCCGGTGCAGTGGACGGTCTGCGGGATTCATCGCCGCAGCGTCGGGAGGGTGGCAGCACAGCACCGTCTCTCCTGCGCTCTCCTCACCTCTCCCTCGCCCCAAGAGCGTCATCATGTAAAAACCTGCGCATGCTTTGTGCTAACTCATGCATTCCCGTTGCCTCGCAGTGAGCTCGGGTTTCACACAAGCTGTTTTTAAACGCAAACTTCAGTTAGAAGTGCCGCATTTAGTTATTTATTCAGGCTGGAGCTCAGAGAATTGGGCTGTGAGCACACGCTGTACTGCAAATGCGCTGATCCACTTCAGCACCGCGGACAGCGACAAGACCGCTTCAGCACACAGTTAATACAGACGCGTGATGCATTCAATCCCCAAAGGACATATAAGGGTCAGCGATGCTTAATGTTCTCCCTGGATCTATTAAGCAATTCAATAATACAATAAATTCACTAATAAATAAATATACCTCTTTTAAGTTTTATACATACATACATACATAAATACTTTTTAAATTAAAAGTATTTATATATGTATGTGTGTATGGCTTAAACCGAAACCATCCTGAAAAATCATTAACAATTCAGACTTTTATGATAGTGTGTCAAGATCATTATGGTTTTTTAAGAATATCAAATATTTTGTTTAGTGTTTTGTTCAAGTCATCTAGAGTAAGGCTTTATTTTTGAGTCAAAATTAATGTTATTTGTACAGTATGTATCTATATATATATATATATATATATAGAGAGAGAGAGAGAGAGAGAGAGAGAGAGAGAGAGAGAGAAAGAGAGACTTTTTAATATCGTTTTAAAAGGATTAAATGCAAATGCAAAAAGTTTATGCAAGGTGCAAGGAAAATATTTTTGATCGGTTTACTTGGTTACACTATACAGACATTTTAGGGTCATTTTTAAATACTTTTTTTGTAGAAAAAAAAGCATATTTTTAAAAAACAATGCACTAAAGATTTACAAGATTTTTTTTATTTAACCATAAATAATAATAATAAATTAAAACAACAAAACACCTTTCACACTTTTGCATTAATTATAAAAAAATAATTGTAATTGTAAATATATTGTAATCTCTTACCGCAATCCGTGCCAATGCCGTTTTGATCGAGGCCCAAGTATCCAATCTTCGGTCTAAAATGATGATAAATTTTACACCAGGTTGCCGTGTTCTGGAAACATGTGAAGTGTGTCATGTATCACACTAACTGCATTTGATCTTAGTTAAGAACATGACATTATGAACAACCAGAATATCTGAACATATGTATGTAAATGTACACAGGCATTGCATGGCGGGATCAATATGTTATTTCATCCTAAAAGATCCTGACTGTATTGTGTCTACAATGTAACTACAAAGATCTTTGCATATTTAACACACTAACAATACATTCATTTGAATAGCTCAATTTGTGTATGAGCTGTTGCAAGGTTTACGTGAAGAGAATACATAAGGGACTGCTGCTGTACTGCAATGCAGTGAGATGGAGAGGCTGATGTATTAGACACGGACCTCGGAATCAGTGTGAGGTATGAAAGAACTTTGGCAAGAGCTTCTTCAGGAATGTCGCTGAAAGCAGAGCATTCTGGGAGAGTGATGATGACACTAGAGTCCTCACCGCGTCCCCCTGGAATTCAATAAACATCACATTTACAGTTTCTCAGTTAAGGACAAATTCTGTGGCATTGCTCCAAATTTATCTGACATGTTTAGACAAGCCATTAATCCACACATACTTTACGTCTCCAAAAACTATCAAACAGAAACTGAAAACCCCACCTGATAAATAGGCCAATTGTTTCTCAATGTAGCCAGCCACTTCCTGCATACTCACAGGGACTGTGACCTCTGAGGAGACAATGAAGATGAGCCACATATAAATAACAAAGCGGCAAGTTTTAGGTCATGTTTCTGTAAGTTATGTGAAATTTCAGGAACAGCACCACCCAGTGTTCAATGTACAAACTACCAGAAGCTGTTAAATCACAGTACTATATAAAATAATTTATGGTCTGTTAATGGACTCCTTAGTGAAATTGACAACATTAGTAGTTAGTAGCAATGAGTCTAATGCATTCATGTCTGCAGAACCATCAAGATGGACTGAAGCCAGAGACTGAAAACAAGAGGTTCAGTTTCCTTTGAGCCTCATTTCATACTACAATACACTGCAAGTGGAGGTTGACAATAGAGGATTTGTTCAAATTACATATGGACCAACACTGGTCTCCAGTGACTTCACCAACAACTCACTTCCTGTGTTTGCGGCAAACAAAAACAAAATTAATTCCACAAAGAGAAATGTAATACTCTGTAGAGGAAATTGATTATTTTTGGGTCAAGTTACAGTACAGCTTCTTTTTCCTATTATAAGGCTCCTTACATGCTTACTATAACCATTGTTGATAAAAAGACCTGATATTCTTCCAAAATAAAGGGTCATGTCCTGAAGAATGTTGTAATATGTAAAAACTGCTATCTACATAACTATTAACCTATCATGATAAAAAATAAATGCTGACATTAACATTTAATGAGTTTCCAACAGGTATAATGGTGCTGGGGCAGAGATGAATGTGAACAAAGACAACTAAATATTTAATAACACTCAAGACAATTTCAACAGTTTAAAATGTTAAATACTCTATATACACCTCAAAAGCAAAATTTATGAGATTGATAATATGATGAGATATGGAGAGATAAATATATTGTACATTTTAGAGAGATGCATTTAAACAAGATGGTCTAGACTAGAAAGCAACAATAAATATGTTTCAGCCTTCCACTAGTTTGCAAACTAATTTTATAAAAAATACAAATGTGAAGTGTCATGATATAATAGACATAATAATATTTTTTATAATAATAATAAATAAAAATACAGCTTAAGGTCTGTGCAACAAATTTGTGTGTGCAAATATATTAACAGTTAAAGAAATAGTTCATATAAAAACGTTAAAAATGTACTCTCTCTCAGACCATACAAGATGTAGATGTGTTTGTTTCCACATCGGAACAGATTTGGAGAAATTTACCATCACATCACTTGCTCACCAATGGATCCTCTGCAAGTGAATGGGTGCCGTCAGAATGAGAGTCCAAACAGCTGATAAATCACAGCAAATTCACAATAATCTACAAATAATGTAAGTAACACACAATCTGCATGTTTGTAGTAAACATATATAGAGATGTTTTCATTTCAAACCACTGCATCTATTCATAATATTGCTTTCTCCAGTGAAAAAGTTGTCTCATCTGAATTAGGAAAGAAATATTCAGAGATCAAGTAAGGATTATGAACTTGTATTTCAGCCAGAAGCAACTGTTTGAAGTTAAAATGCCTTAAAGATGGATTTGTTTGACTGTCTTGTGGATTATTGTGCTGTTTTTATCAGCTGTTTGGATTCTCATTCTGACGGCACCCATTCACTTGCAGAGGATCCATAGGTGAGCAAGAGATGTAATGCTAAATTTCTCAAATCTGTTCTGATGAAGAAAACAACTCCTTTACATCTTGGATGGCCTGAGGGTGAGTATATTTTCATGTTTGAGTGAACTATTTCTTTAATATAATAAATTATATGAATATATTAAGTCTGCTAGGTCACTAAATGTTGGAGTATATTTGCTCATAGTGTTTGTTCTCCCATGTGTTCAGGCTTTATAAGAAAGCCCAGCACTGCCTTGACAATGTTACGTTTAGGCAGCATCGCCCTTCTAAAACAACACAGATGGAAAACCACACCTTATACTCCTTTGAGGGTGTGATCAGAGATATCTGTGAGTCTGTGTATAATCAACACATTCAGGTGCTGTCCATGTGAACATGTCTGAACTCAGTCTGAAAGCTACTTATTAAATAAACCTGTACTGCTCAGTAGCAACACAGAGACTATGATCTGTCCTGTAAAAGACAGATGAGAGATGTTATATAACATACATATACATATA